GAGAAAGAGAAATGTGAGTTGTCATTCAATCATGGGTTATTGTTGAAATATAGGTTCCCACATTGTCTCAACCCAGACAACCTGAGCTAAGAAACCATGGTTGTTAACTAAGAACAACCCATGAAGGGAACTTCTGAACTGTGCATATTGTGCTATGTTTTCTTCTCCTGGCTAGGCTCAGATCACACAATAACCAACTTTTCAACAACAAATTATGGCTGAACAACAACCCAAACTCAACCTGTACTCTTATTTTCTGTATCATGGTTCCCAAAGGAGGCAAAATTTGCATTCTTATGCAAAAGCACATGACTACTGAACAATCAACGCCACAGGCATCCCATCTGAAAAGATCACTGCATCTCAGCCAACAAACGGTGTCAGTTCAATGCTTATTTCTGAAAAAAAAGTGCACTGTGGGGGAGGGGGTGAAAGGCAAGCCCAAAAATCTGAACCGAAAGGTGTTAGAACCCTTTTTCAAGGTTGCAGCAAGAGCGCCACCTGATGGCCATGCACAAACACAGGTCAGAGTTACATAGAAACAGAGCGAGTCAGAAGGGGCTACTGGGCCATCTAGTCTGACCCCCGGCTCCGCTCATGACATGCCCACCATGTGCAAAAGTGCCCTTCCGAATGATATTTGGGGAATTGCAATTGCCAGACTCACACTGGAGGGACAGTGCTGGCAGAAGAGCGCTTTCCTGCCTGATCTCTCCTGAAAGTCCATCAGGCAGACATTTTGCAGGGCCCCTCTTCCTCTCAAGGAAGGCAGGTCTTAGATCCAACCCTGTCACATGAGGCCACTCTTACTCCTGCAAGCTTGCTCCCTCGTTGCTTCTAGAATAAGGGCTCGAGACAGAGCTGGTCTAAGGGGGCTGCCAAAACCCATTCTCAGGTATTTGGGGAACCATCTTCCCCACCACTCTGCTGTCCTGCTGGAAAGACTTGAGGATCTTTCTGGCCTCTGACCAGAAAGGGTTAGCTGGCCTTTTGGGCACATGTTGTTCCCCTCCTGCTCACCCATTCCGTGAATCTTTCTACTTGAAGAAAGATTGAATAAAATTCCCCTGAATCAACTTCTCTTCCCTCCCTTGTTCTTGCATACAAAGTCCTCCGTGGGCCAGGCAGAGATTTTAGAACACATAGAAATTAGCATGTGGAAATCTGTGCATGTATTTTCTCTGAGCCCCTGATCCTCCCCTTTCCTAGCATTCTCCTGGTTCAGGGAAGTTCAGCTAAAGGACAGCATAGGGGCTGGTATCCAGGGCCTGTCAGTCTCACATGCCTTTCCTCCTAAGTCTTTTCTGTCCTATTTCCTCCTCAGCCTGAGGTTTAAAATAACAAAGCAAAACATCTTTAAAACGTGCATTTCTTTTTATATGCAGTTTTCTCTGATGTGCACATTTTATGTGCAACATTGCTGAGATATACATATTTTGACAAGACTTCCCCTTGTGGATGCATATTTCTATACAAGTATTTCCAGGACTTTAATTCTGGGGACACGTGTTTTGAGCCAGGAAATACATTGCAAAATTGGGAGTGGCACACAGTCCAGAGGCTAACCATGTTTCGGGTCAAGACATGAGGCCAGGAGTAGAAGGAAAGGGCCATCGAATTCAAATGCTTCTCCTTTCGGCCCAACTGGGTGGCCAGTCTCACCCTAACTAGCTTTGCTGTTGTGGAAAAAAACTCAACCTGGAACGTGGGGCCTTTTCCATCCACAGCAGATGATCCTCCACTGCAAACTATAACTTTCATTTCATTCAAACTATAACGAAGATTCCTGTCCTCATGGTTCTAAGCCGAGGGCTGCTTTCAACATGAAGCTGCCTGCTACTAAGCCAAACACTGCACTGTTGTAACACAATCCTGCGTACACTGATTAGGAGTGTTTTTCGGGATTCTACCTAGGATTCTCCACATGCTCACCTAGGATTGTACAGTTGAGGTCCTTAAATGGAGAATCTAGTCCTCCATGTTCTGAATCCAGGGCTGGTTTAAATATGAACAAAGGAAACTGATGTTTAACAGGTCAGACCATCAAATCAATATTATCTATACATGGATTGGTAACAGCTCCCCAGGGTTTCAAACCAGGGGTCTTTTCTGAATTACCTGAACATACTGAGATTTGAAACCAGTACCTTCTGCATGCAAGCCATATGCCCTGCCTCTGAACTACAACCCCTTCCTGAAAGCTGCACGGAATCAGAGCTTTTCGTTTCAAAAGCAGAGAATGCTGGGGCCCAAACCAATACAGAATCCTAACCAGGAAAACCATTTTGTTAAATCCTGGACACTTTTCTCCCAGTGTGGCTTCTCCTTGCTGGTAGAGGGAGCCCCACTTCTTGGGGGCAGGAAGCAGGTTTGGGGCTCCCCTCTATAACTCCTGCACGCCCGGGGGAGGGGCAGCTGTGTGGCATGGATGGCACCCCCAAATAGCTCTCCATCTGGGACAGACACTCATAGATTCACATGCAGCAGGAGCCGAGCTGGTTACTGACTATGCAGAGACGGAGCACAAAGAGCCCATTGATTCGCCGCACACAGCTGCCCACGTTCGTCCAGAAATTGCTTGCTCCAAGGCAAGCACGATCACATTTCAGCCAGGACACACATGGGGGAGGGAGGGAGGGAAGGAAGAAGCAGCCACCAGCTGACTGTTGTATTTTACTTTGTTAACGAGTGACATTTATATCCCACTTTTTTCTTCTTGTATGGAGACCAAGGTGGCTTCTTCAACCTCCTTCTTCTCCCTTTTATCTGCACAACAGCCCTGCGGGGTTGCATAGGATCTGGGTCTGTACCAAGGTCCAGCAGACAGCTTCACAGCCAGGGGGATGGGGGACTAGAACCCGGATCCCCTGAGTCCCAGCCCAACCCGCTAGTATGCCAAACCAGCTCTCCTTATAAGCAGGCTGAAATGCAGCCATGAACAATTCAGGAATGCTAAGAGCACAATCCGCAGGAGACAACCTGGATGTATGAATGGGCTATCCCAGGTCTACCCTGCAGGCAGGACGTCCATAATTTATACTGTTAATTTATATTATTTTAATCAAAGTTTATTTATGGTTGTGAGCTGCCCCGAGGCTTCGGCGAATGGGGCGGCATAGAAATTTTCTAAATAAATAAATAATAAAATGTCCACAAATCTTTCCATGGTGTTAATTCACATACTTTTCCACAGTTTACTGTGTACATCCATCCCTCAATCTCTGTGGAATGGGTTTCTCTCAACCACACCTGATGCGTACACATGCACACATAAATCCAAAGTACTATAGAATACATTTTTTCCTCCCAATAATCAACATTTAACGACTAAAACCATTTTAGTAAACACTTAGATCTGTGGAAGACATAAGTGTTCCTGCCTGGCATTCAATGCTCTTGAATGCCTGGGAGAAGAGGGCAGCCTGAGCCTGGTGCCAAAATGAAGGCAGAGTTGGCGCCAGGCAGGCTTCAGCAGGGAGCTGATTCCATCGCTGGGGCCACCCTGAGAAAACCCTTGTGCTGCCACCCTGCAAGCCCTGCCCAGAGGTGACATTCTGAGGAAAGCCTCAGATTGGGATCATAGAGTCCAGGAAATTCAGGATGGGAGAAGTGCTCCTTCCTTCTTGGAAAAGATGGTTCTAGGACTTGGGGGCCTGAAATCACATTCGCCTCGTTTGCAGTAGCATCACGCTACTGGCTCATACGCTCTGAGAAGGGCATGGAAGACGGCCATGAGTATGGAAATGAGGTCCTATGAGGAAGGGTCACAGGAGCCCTATATGATTCACCTGAAGAAGAAGAGGGAAACTGTGTTAGCCCTCTTCATGCCCCTCGGGGGCAGTTGCTCAGGGCAGAGGTAGTTTTAGGGCACGGGCCAAGAGGACTGGAGTGCCCCAACTTTCATTTGGAGCCCCCAAATCTTGGGAAACCTCTGCTCTCTTTGAGCACTTTCTGAAACAAAGGCCCAAGGGCTCTGCGGATCTTTCTTCCATCTGACCCCCTGGACTCCTGCTGCCCCCCAATCTTTTGCCTGAAGGGTGTCCCCCCCCAAAATCATAGGCTCTCCTTTCCCCTGTCCACGCATCCCTTTTAACAAATGCAGGTGAGACAGGATCCTCTAAAGATATCCACAGAAAGATACTTTAGAGCATGTCAAATCAGCATCTGCACATTTGCACAAATGTTGGTTCCATGGATCTTTTGAAACTAGCACTGTTCATGGGCCAGAGAGTTCTCCACTGCTGCCTTGGCAGGCAGGATTACATCTGCATTTTCAGAAGATAAATTTCAGGTGATCGTTAGAAGGAAATATCTTGAGCGTCAGAGCAGTTTATCGATGGAAACTTCCATGTGGGAAGCCAGTGGATCATCCCGTTCTTGGAAGCCTCTTCCCAACCTGAACAAGCCTAGCCTGTGCTTTGAGTTGTTCTCCAGGACAGTGTTGGGGAAGCGTTGCCAGTTTGGGCCAGATCTCTCAGACAGATAAATTTATCTGTGTGCCCTTTAGACCTAGATTTGTTCTCTCTCTCTCTCTCGACCCCTCTGAATTTTGAACAGAGACTGTTTCACAACAAGGTGTCGCAACCACAAAACGTACAATGTTTGGGCAGCGTTTCCAAGAACGGGTTTTATTCTGGGCCAAAACCCTCCCCTTGACTTGACCTCACCAGTGAAAGAAAAGGATAAAAGCACTGCAAGGAGAGACACGATCCAGAAGGAATTAGCAGATCAAGGTTTGGACTGACAGAGCTGCAGGTAAGGGCTGACGCCACTGCAGTTTCCTCACCTTCATTCAGTTGCCATGATTGCTGGCTGGTTTATTTAGAAGTCATGGGACAGGAGATGAATCTTCTGGATTCATAACTTGCCCAAGGACAGGGGGTAGAAATAAATGCTACAGAGAGAGGTACGCACTCGGGTCCCACAGGGGTCTGTACAGGGACTGCCGCTTTTCAATTTGTTCCTGAGTGCAGCTCTCGCACCCCCTTGTTCATCTTTCAGTCAGACTAGAGTATTCCCAAAGCTCTCCTTTAGCACCTTGTTTCAAAAAAATCATTTTTTTCCCTGTCCAGCTTTCACACCCATCCACAGGGGATACAATTGTGTGGGTGGTCTTGCTCTCCAGTGGAATGTTCTGATACTTGTCGATCTCTTCTGGTTTCTTTGTTGCTGCCCTTCCTCCCTTCCTTCTTCAAATTTCCTAGCTGCAGTTTCCCTTGGAATAGATGGCTGAGCCAAAATCTTTCAAAGCCAAATTATTTAGGCGGTTAAATCCAGGAGGGCTTGTGAGGACCTCTCCAAACTGGGAGAAGGGCATCAAAATGGCAGATGCCATTCCGTGTAAGCACAGCTGTAAATAAGGAGCGAGAGCAATCCCAACCCAGCATGGGCTGAGGGGATCTGAGCTCATGACTGAGCAGAATGGAGAAAGACTGAGCTACACGACCCTTCAAGGGCTCTTTCAGCATTGGCAGCTTTTACTTTAAGATGGGGGGCCTGTTGGTAGGTGGTTCAACCTTTCAGGTGAGTGAATTTGGCCCTGTCCTGGACGGGGTAGCACTCCCTCTAAAGGACAGGGTCCACAGCCTAGGAGCGCTCCTCGACCCAGAGCTGTCCCTGGAGGCCCAGGCAAGAAGCGCTTTCCTCCAGCTTCGGCTGATCCACCTGCTGCGCCCTTACCTGGATGAGTGTGCCTTGCAATGGTGACCCACACTCTGGTAACTTTCTGGTGGGATTACTGTAAAGTGCCCACATGGGGCTGCCCTTGAAGACGGTCCGGATACTTCAATAGGTCCAGAGTAGAGCTGCCAGGATATTAACGGGGACCAGCTGGTTTTCATATATAACACCAGTCCTCTACAGTTACACTGACTACCAATTGAGGTCAGAGCCCAATTTAAGGTGCTAGTGATGACCCTATAAAGCCCTGAACAGCTTGGGTCTGGGATACCTGAAGGGGCGCCTTCTTCCCTTCCCACTTGCGATCTGAGACGGAGGCCATGTGCTCCCCAGAGAGGTGGCATTATATTCCTGGCACTGACATTATATTATTTTCGGTGTCAGGCAAAACCCTTTTTATTTTCCTGTTCTTTTAATGTTTAATTGATTTTAATTGGGGTTTTAGTATATCATGGTCGGATGCTGTGGGGCTGTTCTATTTATTTATTGTAAGCCTTCCCAAGATGTTCTATAGAGGACAGGATAGAAAAGCTTTAATAAATAGTATTTTGAGCCATCCAGGGTGCTGCAAGGGGGTGGACATATTTTGGGGGTACAGCTGGGCACCACGAACCGTTCCAAAGCAGCCCAGGGTAAAAGCTGCCAGGGATCGGGGCCCCACTGGCACAGGAATCACAGAAAGAGAATGTGGGGGCGAGTCACGATAGCCAGGCTTGGCCCAGTGAATTTCCTCATGTAGTCCCAGCCCAAAAAGCAGCACCCGTCCCAGGAAATGGTCCCTGACTGTCCCCACCTGGGACACACCTTGGCAGTAATTATGCCAAGAATGTGATCTGGCCAGATCTGCCGATCAGGGCCTGGGATTTGAGTGGCAGGACTTGAGGGTGGGCCACCGGTACCAGGACAATGGAAAGCAGGGCCGGGCAGGGCAGGGCATAAAGACGGTCTGTTCATCAGCCCAGCAGCAAGTCCCAAGTCGCAGTCACAGAAGTGGCACGTGGCCCTCCGAACAGGCCAGGGCAGATTGAGGGAGGGAAAGGCTATCTGCGCAGCCGTTTTTATGCACGGTGCTGGCTTCAACGAGCAGGCTGCCTAGGTGCACAGCTGCTGGGGAACATGGGTGCCGTGGCATTCACAGCCTACCTGTGGGTTTCCCATGGGCAGCTGGGCGGCCACTTTTGTTCTGTTGGGCCTCTGGTCTGCTTGCACATGACCCTTCTTGTGTTCTGAGAACGCAGGCAGGACGGCTGTCCCGTTCCCTTGCTCCAGTCCACAGTGAGGGTCCTGCAGGTGGAGCCTACAGACATTCAGACAAGAACTCCCATCAGCCCCAGGCCAGGTAGGATGGGAGTTGAGTTCCACCTGCAATGCTTCACAATACTCTGCAGACCATCTCTATGCCTCTCCCACCCTCTGCCTCCTCAGAGACGTCCCACCATGGATCATGGCATCTCTACAGTCTTCATCACTTCCATCCTGTGGTCTCTTCACGGACAGCATTTCTCCGCCCACACTTGCCTTCCCTTCGCCGCTCCAGCCAACCTCACCGAGTTCTCCTGTTCTGACCCCACTCTGAACAAGTTCCCATCTGGCTTCCCTGAAGGCACCAAGATCATCTCTGTGGAGAACACCAACCTGTCTGACATCAGCACGGAGGCCCTCCAGGGCCTCTGTGAGCTCCAGGAGCTTCACCTGTCCAGCAACAGACTGAAGGCTCTTCCCAGCAGCCTCTTCCATAACCTCTCAAGACTGCAAGCCTTGGATCTCACTGGCAATCTCCTTGAAGACCTTTCTCCAGGAATATTCCAGAACACCATTGCCTTGAAGCATCTGGCCCTTCAGGGAAACCAGCTAGCTACTCTGCGTCCATCCTGGTTCCAAAACCTACAGAGCCTCATCTTCTTGGACCTCTCCCACAACCAGCTGAAGGACGTGCCTCCATATTGCTTCAGCAAGCTGGAGCATTTGACCAGTCTGGACCTGTCCTACAACTTCCTCCAGGTCCTCTCCCCAGAGATTCTAAAGGGTTTGATCAATCTGGAGAAGTTGGACCTAGAAGGCAACCAAATCCAAACAATTAAGGACAAAACGTTCTATGTTGTCCAAGCCCTGCAATTCCTCTTCTTGAAGAATAATAGCTTGGACCACCTCTCTGATAACACCTTCTTCCCACTGGACCGTCTGGAATTGCTGGATCTCTCCGGCAATCAGCTCACCTCGCTGAATCCTCTGTTCTCCAGACAGGCCACTAAGCTGAGCCTCGATCTCTCAGAAAACCCTTGGGCATGCGACTGTCGCTCATGCGTCCTCCTGGACTGGGCAAGGAACAACTCTGTCACCCTATATTCCCAGAAGGATATGAAGTGTGCCTCCCCTAAGCACCTTCAGGGCCAAGTCATGACGTCTCTCAGCAATGCCATGTTTGGGTCCTGCTGAATTCTGCAGACACAGCTCAGTTCTGCCGGATCCCTGATCTCACACTTTTGGAGGATGATGGAATGAAATGTGCAAAGCTTCCAAATCCCAAGGAGCCACCGGGGCCTCCTCCCTCCTGATTTTAAAAATAAATGAAATGAAATGAAATGAAATGAAATGAAATGGGAGTTCTTAAGTAGGTGACCAGCATGCTACGAGAGAGAAGGGATGTTTTCCATGGGGGATTTGGGGAGGGGGTATGCAGCTTGTCTGAGTGTGTTTATTTGGGCATCAGCCTTTATTTCTCCTGTAAAATGGACGCATTGGTGTTTTAGGGTCTGGGATGTGGGAGGCTGGAGACAAGATCAAGACAACAGGCCCAGGACAACAGAACGCAAGGCAGGGCAAAGTCTAACAGCGAACGCAGGAGCAAGGAACAGCCAAGGCCAGGAATCAGGAATATCAGGACAAGGCAAGGGTGGCGTCATGCCCAAGCCAAGGGTCAAGAACCAGGAGGACAGGCAGAGCAGCGGGCAGGATGACCAGGCAGGGTTCAGGGGCCGCACTGGGTAGCAAGGCAGCAAGGAGGGTGAGGCGAGGGGCAAGGGCCGCAGGCACCGGCTGCATCGAGGATCAGGCAAGGGCAGGAAGCCCTGCGTTGCAGCCACGAGACAGCAAGGCGAGACGTGGCGAGACAAGGCAGGGACTGACCCACAGCAAGCGGGTAAACCTGCACTGCTGAGGTGAGGCAGCCAGGCAGGCCCTGGGGCCAACCCTGCAAATACTGAGGTGTTTGTGGCTACCAAATGGAGACCCAGAGCAGCTCGCTTCCAGCTCCAAATCTCACCTCTGCTTTGCACTGAGCTCTTGGCCTGGCTCTTAGCCCCCTCAGTATTGCATTCTGTGAAATGGGCACTGGAGCAAAGAACAGGCAGCTCAAAGAAATGGCTTGCTTCAGGGGTCTCAGTCCCAGTCCACCTCTGGCTTGTAACTTGGCTTCTTGGGCAAATCAGTTTTAATTTGGCCTCACCCGTTGGCCATCTAGGAAACAGATGTTCTGTGACCAGCCAAACCAACCATGGCAGCCATCTTGTGTGATCACCCACAACACAGCCACAAGAAGACCATATAATTGGGGACCCTGTTGTAACTTATGCCGCAAAAGGGGGTCACCCCACCACACCCACCATATCTCCTCTCAACGCTCTTGAGTTTCATCTGAGAAGCAAATTTACATGGGGTGTTAAGTCACAGGCAAGTGGGAAAACCACTCTTCCCTTGCCCAGCACCTTCCAGAAGTGCCATGATATTAACAATAGATGAATGGCTTTCAGAGTCAATGTGACTTCTTGGGAATTTCCCTTTTTGTTTTCATCCTTCGCAGCCCACTTTCTCTTCACCCCCACCCCCATTTTTAATAGGGGACAAAATGCACAATGCTCTCTCCCAGATATTTATGGAGAAGCTGTGCTCCCACGGAAACTTTAAATTAAACCCAATCGCTTAAAGATAGTGGGCAATTTACTGTGATTTAGCTGAGCGATAAAATCCAAATGCGACATTGTATTTGCCGGCCCAAAGCAGCTGACTGCTTTTTGTTCTGGTGTCTGTTTGCTTGTTTTCGTCTCTTTTAAGTAATAAAGGAAACTGTTCCAGTTAGCAGAAAAGAAAACCCTTAAGATGTAAGCACTGGGGAGGCAGGAGGAGGAAATGGGGATTCCAGTAGGAAAAGAGGTGCTAGGTGGCCACTCTTAGCCATTGCAAATCCTGGATCTGGCCCATGCGAGGAAACAGAGTGTGCAGGCTCTACTGTGCCAGCCATCTGCTCCCAGGGAAGGACTGGTTTGATACATCCTTGCCTTGTATACATCCTTCATGCCATAATACTCTCCTTCCATAATACTGTCAAGAATTTCATTCCTGTTTGCAAACACAGATTTGCTAATGCACAAACAGCCTGCAAATATGCCAAAGGAGACGCCTCACTGCACAATTCACAGGTCAGATTCATGGAAATCCAAATTCATTTAACACCATTATGGAGTTCCCCAGCACCAGCATGTAGCAGAGCTGAGCATTTGCCAGTGGCCCCTGAAGCGTCATGAGTGCCAGCAGAAATATTTCAGAAAAACAAGAACAGGACATCATTGTTAATGGCAGAAACATAAAAACTGGTGATCCACTATCACACGAGTTAGTTGTCCCTATGTCAGTGGGATTCCCTTTAGCACTGCAGCTTTTCTTTTTAGTTTTAGAAGAGCTTTCCATGATTCTCCATGGTGGGAAGTCTATTTTGGGGGTAGAGGTCAGCACTGTGAGTGGCTCTTCTGAAACTAAAAAGAAAAGCTGTGGGGGGAGCATCTCTGATAGAAGGGTGATCCCCAACCTTTGCAGATCTGGAGTAATTTGACCAAATTCCTTTTTTTTTTTTTTTTTTTTTGCATGGGACTAAGAAGGTTGTCTTTCAGCTCCAGCAAGAAAAGGCAAAATGGTAGACAATTCAGCAATAAATCTATCAAAACTTCAGCACGGAGAGAAGGAGAAGGAAATGCAAACCGCTGTTGGTTCCTTGTAAAAAGGAAAAAAAGTGGGATTACATATTATCATACAGGCATAGTTTGTTTTATCACGATTCCATTTACTGCGCTTCACAAATACTGCATTTTTACACACAGAAGGTTTGTGGCAACCCTGTGTTTTTGAGCCTATCAGCTCCATTCTGCCAAAAGCATTTGCTCACTTTGTGTGACAAATTTTGGTCATTCTCACAATATTTCAAACTTTTTCATCAATATAATATTTGCTATGGTTTCTTGAGATGGCATCTCCTCCTGTTGAAGATGCAGTGAACGTAGTTGGAATGACAACAAAGGATTTATAATATGGCATAAACGTACTTCATATAAAGCGAGCAGCAGCTTGAGAGGACAGACTCCAGTTTTGAAAGAAGTGCTCCTGTGGCTAAAACACTATCAAACAGCATCACATGCTACAGAGAAATCTTTCCTGAAAGCTGGAATCAATTGATGCAGCAAACTTACTGTTGTCTTATTTTAAAAAACTGCTAGTCAGCCAATTCATCAATCAGTCAGCAGCTGACAACATTAAGGCAAGCAAAAAGATTATGACTTGCAAAAGCTTAAAGGATGGTTAGCATTTTTTAGCAATAAAGTATTTTAATTAAAGTATTCATGTTCTTTCAGACATAATGCTATTACATACTGAATAGACTACACTATCGTGTAAACAGAGCCTTTATATGCACTGGGAAAACAAAAATTTGTGTGACTCACTTTATTGAAAAATTCACTTTATTGTGATGGTCTGAAACTGAACCAGTAATATCTCTGAGGTATTCCCTGTATTTTTAATGGTTACAAACAGTAATGGATAAGGTGCAGAGTTTAGAGAAAGAATTAAACTGAAAATTTGGTCTACAGAGCCCAGGTGCCGGCTTCAAGGCCATTTCGACATGGAGATTGGGCAAAGGGAGGAGGAGGAAAACAAGTAGATCACATATCTTCTGAAGACAAAGCCAGGCTCACTCCCTCAGGATAAGGCCTGGGAAAGGCAGGACTTCCCAGGTGATGGTTCCCCTCAAGGATGATCAGGAGATGTCACCCCATGGAACTTACCATTCTGGTTGCTCGCAAGGGGGAGACAGGTGTCTATGTTGATGGTTGCTCCCTCCTTGAAGAGAGACCAGTACTGCCAAAGGGTCATTTTGTCTGTGCTCTGATACACTACTCGCAAGAAGGCCCTATTAAATATCCACCCTGTTATTCACAGTAGGCTAGCTAGGTGTGTTACTTTAGGTCTGAGATGGTCAAAAGGCTTGGGCTTGGTGTTTAAACTCTTTTCTGTACTTTTTGCTGATATTGAATTCCTCACTTCCTTTTCCCTTCTTCCATGTGTGTGTCTATCTGCATTCATAACTGTGTGCCCTTTTTAAGCTCCCACACCCATATTGCCTGTGTTTTGTTTCACCAAAGTTTTGTTTCCCCAAGTACTTGGATGGGCTTCTGCTGAATTTTTTGGCTAAACACGCAGAGCTTTTCCATGCCCTCCGATACTTCCTGCTGACCTTCCCGGCGTTCAGGAGAGATGGAAGGGGATTGCGTCTCCCACTGTCCCTGCCTGGCTGGCGCTGTAATTCACACCCCGGGTTCCCAGCCTGCTTCCAAGGCCGCCCAGCAACCGCTCGGGGCCCCGCTCCAAGGCCAGGAATTAGCTCCCGGCTGTGCTGCTGGAGCAAGAGAACCACGCGGCTCCTTCCCAAAGAGGCAAGAACACCCAACTCCATCAATCCGTCTAATCTGCCATCCAGTCAACCAACATGCTGGTTTCTTTGCCTGTTCACGCATTAGATTTCCACCCACTTCTTTCTTACAAGAAACTCAAAGCAGCCCCCCCATTTCCCCCCCCATTGCTCACCCTCTTGCCCCTGTGAGGCAGGCTGGGCCGAGCCAGTGGCTGCCCCAAAGACCCCAGCGGGCCCCATGGCTGAGTGGGGACTGGCAGCCCCACGCCCTGAACCTCGGCCCCACACGGGCGCTGCTCTCACAGGGGCCACCAGCTTCGCGGAAACGCCTCCCAAGGAGGACACGAGCGCGCCGGCACCCTCCTGCCCACGTTCCCCAGCACGGGGGCACAGTGGCGCAGGCCTCTGAGCCCGGAGGTGGCTTGAAGTCATTGGGACCAGCAGCTAGTGGCAGCCGGGTTCCTCCAGTGCCCCTCCGAAGATGTCCGGACGGGCGCCTCGCTGTTTTGTAGGGGAGGAGTTCACGGGCAGCCCCCCAGCTCTGCAGGGCACCCCCAAGGACGGCAGCCGGGTGACTGGCAAGGTCGGCTGTGCATTCCTTGAAAAGCAGCGCTTTCACGGGGCCGGAGGACCTGGCGGGGGACTCATTCGGGGTCATCACTCCTGGTGCGTCTGGCTCACTTCCCCGCGGCAAGGCAGCCTTCCTGCAGCGCCTCCTCGCGGTTTGGCCCAAGCAACCCTGGTGAATGTTCAGCTCCGTCAGGCAGTGCAAGACATTCCCAAAAGGGCGGGTGTGTTCAGAAAACCGACGTTGTTTTACCCCACGAGGGGGGAGCGTGCTTTGTAAACACCGCATGCTACAAACGATGCCCAGACCCAAAGCATGCGCGCAAGAACACCGATTCCACACGCTAGCGAAAAA